AAAACTATTGAACTAAAAATTATTCAATTCGTGTTTATGTTGTGACAGATCATAAATTTTCCCGAGTATATATCCCTTATCCAGTGCATAGGTAAATGTACGTTAATAAAAACTTACATAAACTAGCAGTAAATGTAACAAAAAGTTTTATATCTTAGCTCGAAAATGTAAGCTTGTAATAAAAGCAAAACTGTATTAAAATGATTATGAGAAGAATACGACACATCATAATATATATGATCAAAATATAGATACATAATACTTATTATAATTAATGATGAAGAAGATTTAGTTAATAGATATTATTGCCAAATTTGACTAACGAATTTTATATGTGTTGAATAATCCACGAATTTTATACCAGTTCAATATTGAACAAATGGTGCCATAAACAAATTAGATTGTTTGTTTGTTGAAAATAAGTAAAGTAATAGTGTTATATATAATCGCAAAATTAGTAAATTTAAGTTTTATTCGCAGTTGAATATTGCAATTTATTCATAACGATCCAAGCATTACGAAAAATACATTGCCAATACTGTTATTGTTACTGAAGCAATATTTACTTTTGAATAGATAAAGATTAATTCAATAAAATTACAGATTATTATTAAGTTCAGCAAAGTGTTCAAATAACGAACTAAGATTTTCTCCTACAGTTCATCATTTTAAATGCTCATATATAGTAATTTTTTGCTATTATTAATATGGAAAATGGGGCTCAATTATGCAATTTAAATTTTAGCAATTATATTGTGAAAAAATCACACCAATTATACAACAAAAACATCATATATCAAACAAACAACTATTTGAAACTGAAAGTAAAACTCCGAGCTAATTCATCATTGTAGAATGTGTTTTTTTGTGGTTCTTCAAAATATGTGACTGGTCTTTTTTACGCCATAGGCCGGATAAAATTAAGGACGACCTTAAGCAAACAGGTATAATAACCTTAATTTTAATTTAAAAAAATTAAAAGTTGTGTTTGTCCTTCACTTTACTTTTATCGTATAATTGTCAATATCTCAAATCTTTCTAAGAAAGTATGCAGATTTTAGTATTCTTTATCATAGTACATATACTTAGGCATAATATATTGAAATTTCAACATTCTAAAACTAATTAATATATTTTAAATAAAATTTCAAACTTTGCCCTCTTAACTTTACTTGAGACGTTTGGAAAATTTAACGATTTCTTAGGACTTGTCTCAATTTATCAATTTCGTAGGTAGTAACGTTGTAAAATTGAAAATATTCAAATATTTGTGAAATGGATTTTATAAATTAATGGCTACATTATTCAATCAATGCAAAATATAATTTTGATCGGAATGTTTTTAACTGAGATAACACTGTATATCTGGTATTTTGTCAGAAATATTCACCAGCAGACGTAGCATTTCTCATATAAAATTGTACTTTCAACATGCTACGTGGTTGCTGAGCGGTTAGTCGTTTTAGATATAAAACCTAACCTAGAAAACGCACTAATATAAAAAAGAATCTTATTAAACCTACATCCTTCTGATGTGTCATAATAACATCTTAGAAATATATCTTAGAAAAACATGCTGTTCGAAATAGATATTTATTAATAGATATTATTGTCCAAATTTGACTAACGAATTAATATATGTGTTGAATAATCAACAAAATTATACCAGTTTAATATTGAACAAATCGTGCCATACAAATAGATTGTTTCAAAAAGTGTTGAACAATAAGTAAAGTAATAGTGTATATATAATTGCCTAAATTAGTAAATTTAAGTTTTTATTATAGTTGGATATTTGCAGCTTATTTATAGTGAGCCATGAATACGAAAAGATACATTGCCAATATTGTTATTGTTATTGAAGCATTATTTATTTGTTAAATAAATAAGATTAATTCATCAAAATTACAGTTTATTATAAGCATTAGTTAATTATTAGTTAATTAATTTTGACTGTTTTAGTACCAATTTATATCAGAAACGCTACGTGACATAGCCTTACCATAACATTGGTCGTTTTTACGAAAAAATCTTTCCCTAAATCATAGTATCAACTTACCACAATTCCATTGTGCAAGTGAAATGGTCCATCCAATTGAAAGCTGGATATCATCATAATCATAGGGTGAACCAGATAGGCGCAGTACGTCAGTCTGCTCAGTGGCAAAGCTCCACGGTACGATAGAACTTTTGCTACGATGCCGCCGTAGCCGGTGTGACACGCGACCGTAATCCACGCCAGAGATACGCCCCAGGCTACGAGAGAAAGTGTTTCATCGATTAAAATTATATCGAATAGAATTAGTAGAAACTATTAGGATTATCGAAATGAAAATGCATTTGAGCTTGAACAGGTTTATCTTGGTTTTATAATAGGACCCATTTAAGAAAAGCTGTAGTGGCTGTAGTCAACATTCTATCCTGAATGCTTGAATTCTTACATATGATAAAGTTTTTTTTAATAGATAAGCTATCTGCTTGCACGTTGTTAATCAAAGGATTAATCGTCCTACGTATTTTTTCATTAAAAAAATCTGATGGTGCACATTATTGTACTAGTGACATAAACAGCATAAATAACAATGTATCAATAGTGGCAAAATAAATAGAAGCCTTTTTCCTGTGGTTTTTAACCTATGAGGCGCGCGCCTTGATAGAGCGCCAAACTATTGCAAGAGGGGGTACTGCTGTTTTCAAAAAATTAACCAAATGTTGAAACGATATAAAAAAATTAGTGATTAAATGGTCATTTTTTATTATATTTTAACATAATATTTTATATTTATTTATAGCCTGATAAATAAATTACAATGTAAGTAAAGTATTTATAAAATTAGAATATTAGTAAATTTAAGGGAAACGCAAAATTTTTTTTAAAAAAAGCGATGTGGTACAAAAGGCTGGAAACCGCTCCCTTAGTCTATCCATGATTTTTCGCTGTATAATTTAGCTTACGTATATGTATATAAATAAACAACTACATACTTCATTTGTAGCAAACAGATTCGAGATTTGTTCACTATTATATATAAATTAGATTATGCCTTTGCAAATAAAAATATATATCTTAAAGTTATACTCTCGATAAGAATCAGTTTTACTATTAATGATTTAGAAAAATAAATACAGAGCACGATTTTTAAGACAAATATATCACATAAGTATTCATTTTTATAATTAAATTATACTAATTAAACTGATGAAGACAGAGCTAGTCTCGAAAAGCTTTTAAAATGAGATTGTCAAGACTATTGAACATATGATAAAAAGAGTGCAATGTGTTGATATTTCCAATTTAGGATAGATGTACTTTAATAATAAATTTTATATGTATGAATTTTATCTAAGGAATGCTTTCATTCATTTTTATTTTTTTACTATTTATTTGTTTTCATTTTTTTTATTTTTTTATGTTAGTATCATTCATTGAAATTGACTCTTTAAAATATGTCATATTTTACACACGATAAAAATATATTATTTTAAAAAACTAGTGATGTTTTATGTTATTAGGTAAAGTGCACGTAATTCAATCAAAACATGTTTTGTGTTATAATTTATTTTGTTACTCTGCTTAACGGCATAATGGCCTTTTCTTTTATTTGTACAAAAAAGGGAACCGGTTTTTCTTTGCGCAGCTTGTTTTATATTTTGAATAAAGCAATTCAATTAGCACAAAATCCTCTTAAATTAAATAACACGCCCGGTAGCTCACTAATTCTTCCATTTAAATCAGATTATGTAATATTTTAGTGCTTCAAGACGTTTGCGACTTTAAGCCTTGCATTCAATATTATGATCGTAGCATATTCAAACAGGAAAAAGTCAGTTATTTTTATATTTTGTAAGTTGATTTTTGAATTTTATTGCGTTATTGTCACAAATAATTAAGTTAGCTTTTTTATATTAGTTAGTTTGACAAGAAAGTAGTTATGCAAAGAGTTTAATATTCATTTGAATCAGACTTTTCAAAAATTAGTTTGATTTATATTATGTTGAGAATCAATGCAACAAAAAATATAAATTACTCAGAAAAAACTATATACACTATAAATTGAAAAGCAAGGTTTATTATAAAAGGGCAATAACAAAATGAACTTAAATTATTTTTAGAATTTAATAAATGCTTTTAATCGTTAGTGTACTAAAAATGAGAAAATTAGAATTTACTCATTAATATATACAGCTTTATAATGGTAACAAATTTTCTAATAACTATAAATTTAAGACCATGACTGGAATGAAGTTCTACTACTTTATTCTCGTAGCAGCGTAAAATAGCGTAAAAATGTATATAATTTATTAACGTTATTCATATTTGTATATAAAAAAAGTTTACAAATGTTTCAAGGCTGGATTATTTTGAAAAACTTCACAAAAATATATGAATTGTAATTGTTACTCACACCACGAAAGAGTTTTCACTATTTCAAAAATTAAAAAAAATCATAAGGTTATCAAAACAAATTCAAAGTAATCATTTTAAAGCTAAACTTACCGGTATGTCCAATACTGACGTAGGCCGCAGTAGCTGCTACGCTGAGGCTTCCGTAGAGCATTCCGTAGACTAAACTCCACATAATGGCCAAGGAACAAGTCCAGCCGAGTACTACTGCCCATGCCGGCAAAATGAGACGATTTTGGATGCGATGTAAAAGCCAACCGGTGCACATACCTGAGAATATATAGAAATTTAGAATATTTTTAATTGCAATTAAATTGAAATAAAATATTTGCATTTAGTATTATACCTATATATTCCATATTTTCAATGATGACGTATAATAATGATATCATTTCATAAAAAATAAAATATGGAGAATATATTATGTTTCATTATATGAAGATTATTCGAGATATATTCTGAGTACCAATGTAATAAAGGAGGTTAGTAATAAAAGGAAATTTTACAATAATATTGTGTTGTACTACTTTTAATAGCTTGCTGCTCCTGTATATTTTTGCAAGACACATACTTTGAATAGTATCTTACACGTCTTGATTTCTTTTTATAAATATATTAAAATAGGTTGTTCCCAACCTCTCGATTTTTTGTGCTTGATTTTACGATATACGAGGTGTGTTCAAAAAGTACCCGGAATTTTTAAATTTCGCGGGTCTGGAGTGTCTGATTGTCAAATTTTTTTTTATTGTGTTGGTATACATGCCCCTAAAGTATGATGCAATTTTCAGCTATATTCACTGTTTACTTTGTCTGTGGTAGTCGCTAAGGTTCGACGTGTTTTTCTGAGCTCGGCGATTTTTACAATGGAAGAATTGAAAAGTCAAAGAATTTGTATTAAATTTTGCGTAAAAAATGAAATAAAGTGTAACAAAGTGTGTGAAATGTTACAAAAAGCCTATGGTGAGTCTGCTATGAAAAAAATAAGTGTTTACGAGTGGTATAAGCGTTTCCAAGATGGCCGCGAAGACGTTGAAGATGACGAACGCTCCGGTCGACCCAGCACGTCAACAAACGATGAAAATGTGAAAGAAGTGGAAAAAATAGTTATGAATGATCGCCGAATCACAATTAGAGAAGTTGCTGATGAAGTTGGCATATCAATTGGCTCATGTCATAACATTTTTTCAAATGTTTTGGGCATGAAACGAGTGGCAGCAAAATTCATTCCAAAACTGCTAAATTTTGACCAAAAAAGCAATCGCATGAACATCGCTCAAGAGCTGTTAAATGACGTCAACAACGATCCAAGTTTGCTTGAAAGGGTCATAACTGGTGATGAAACATGGGTGTACGGTTATGATGTCGAAACCAAAGCCCAATCGTCCCAATGGAAGAGCCCAGGTGAGCCAAGACCGAAAAAAGCACGTCAAGTTCGATCGAATGTCAAGGTTTTGCTTACTGTTTTCTTTGATTATAACGGCATAGTGCATCAAGAGTTCTTACCACAAGGTCGTACGGTTAATAAGGAGTATTACCTTGAAGTGATGCGACGTTTGCGTGAAGCAATCCGAAAAAAACGCTCCGATTTATGGAAAAACAATTCATGGCTGTTGCACCACGATAACGCACCTGCTCACTCGTCGTTGCTTGTTCGTAATTTTTTGGCCAAAAACAATACCGTAGTCATGCCCCAACCTCCATATTCACCAGATATGGCTCCGTGTGACTTTTTCCTATTCCCAAAGTTGAAGAGACCCATTAAAGGACGGCGGTTTTCCTCGATTGAAGAAATAAAGGCCGAATCACTGAGAGTGCTCAAGGACATATCAAAAAGTGAATATCAAGGGTGCTTCGAAAATTGGAAAAAACGCTGGCATAAGTGTATTATATCTGGGGGGGACTACTTTGAAGGGGACCACATTAATGTAGACGAATAAATAAATATTTTTTTGAAAAAACGAAAATTCCGGGTACTTTTTGAACAGAACTCGTATTTAGGAGCTTCATTCTCGATATATTTTAGTTTACCTAATCAGTATATTTGACTTAATAAATAACAAAAACTATATTTGTGAGTGAATTGCATAAATTATAACGTTTGTGGATGTATAGATGTTTTATTCTTGTCTTCATAACTATCTTTATAATTAAAACTATGTTATTAATGAATATAAGTAAAATAAAATTCTCTGAATAAGTTGAAGATAATCTGAGATAATGTAAACTAAAAACATAAGCACTATTTGTGCACTACTAATATATAATAATATATAATATTACGGTCACAAAATATTTTTACTTATGGATGTATTAAATCGACCATATTTTTATTATTTTTTATGAGTAAATAGAAATAAACATACAGTTATTGTTTTGAAATAAAAATATTATAAAAAAACTAATGTAAGATTTGGAGAAATGTAACTTTTGAACAAATTAATTTTTTCTGTAATTATTCTTTTTAATCATGGCTTGAAAACAATACATCAAATATCAGAATATTTGAACGATGTCTAAATAATGGAAATAAATGAATTGAGAAACGAAGGTGTTATGTGTATATAGTTGTAGTTATTTTAATAAATTATTTCCTAAATAATATGAGTAACATAAATGTATGTTGAAATACTACCACCTTCAAGCAAAATTTATCATTGTAAGTTCTCCAAGAGAACAGTCACGAAACTCGTTAGTACGTACGTTGCAACGACAGAATTACATTACAAGGTTTCAAGTTTCATGTCCCATTTGCAAGCTAAATCATATTTACTTCTTTGAGGTACATTTAAAGAATAATAGTCTTTTAGTATATAGGAAGCTTGCCATTTAGTATACGTAAATATACATTTTATGCAAATTTAAATACTTTTTTAAGATATATTATTGAAAAAAACGTGTCAGCCACAAACCGATGTAGTACGATCGCGAAGGCGTTAAATAAACGACTCCTTTGGGATATTTTAAAAATTTATAGCTAGTACATAAAACAGCAAAAGTATTTATAAACTATATCAACTACATGAAGAGAAAGCTACAAAAACGAGCATTAGGTATTCAAAGACTATATTACTTGCAATTTTATACAAATTACTTACAAATATTATTATTAGTTTACTGCTACAAAATATAAATCGGACTAACTGGAAGTGTGTTGAAAATACGTCAATTTTAGCTAATTTTAATATGAACTAATTAACAATATTTCTCATAAAATGTGTTTTGAAAACTTCATGCTTAAAAACTTTAAGTGTTCAATTACGTTAATGATTAATTTTTATAGAAGAACATTATATAACAATAATTTTAATATAATTAATTATAAAGCAAATCTGCGTCAGAAAAGTTTAGAAACTTTTCAATTAACATTTTTGAAAAGAATGACATCAGCAATTTAAAATCGTAAAAAATACTTAATGATATCGCTTTTAAACATTGATCCCGGTTATTTTTTAAAACTGCTCCATTAATCTTCATCAGCAGAAAATGCTACACTGATTTATAGAATATTGCTTTTTTATATGAGGCTTCTCTGTGATCATTACGTGACTAAATTGATGTAGGTCGCATTTATTATATCATGCTCAAACATAATTAATTACTAGAAAATATTCAATAAATGATATGCAGAATTAATAATAAAGAAAATTTATTAACCTAGAAGTCTCAAACTTTAAACAGAGGATTTGAATTTATTTGTATATGACAATCAAAATACAATAATAATTTTAGCACAACCAACTTATTAAGTATTAGACATGTACCAATCTCTTTATTCTTAACTTCTGATAAACTGTTTCGGGAAAGTCTAAAATATTTAAAGATGTTTATTAAGACCATGTTATCCATCAACAAATAATACAATATTTCCTCATAATTACAAAAACTAGTGGTGCATGGCATCGTGCCATAAGGCAAATAGCAGGAACTTCCCGTACCGAAAAATAAAATTATAAAAAAAACTTTGCTAAACTTTGAGATTTTTGAAAAAAATTGACTTTTTTGAATATCTATATTTTTTTATATTTTGATTTTGTTTGCATTTTATTGTTAACATTTTTTTAAGCAATCGAGCTGCATAACTAGTTTGGAGTCGAAATATCAAAGCGCGTAACGTGTAAAATTTGGTGCGAAACCCATATAAATGTACACAAAATTTATACTTATTATTATAATTTTTATAAAATATCTGATAATACAATATACATAAATCATATGTCTAATGCTTATTTTTGACTGCCAATTGGCATTATTTTTTACTTTTTTATTTGGATCTCCAGAGACGCTTAACCTGCCTTCACAAAAATTTTACCAGTTGTTCATTTCATCAATACAATTAAAATGTTTTTTTGAATTATTTAAATCGGACGCTGCGTTGGGCAATTTTTGCCCCATATCTCCAAAACGGCTAGACCTGTCTTTGCCAAAAACTAATCAGCACCTCTCCTTATCAGTAGGAATCAAAAGTTTTTCGAATTATTTAAATCCGTTGAATTATTTAAATTTGTATCCGCACACACACACGTCACACACACATACATCCATTTTTTAGGTATGCCGACATATTCAGAAACCTCTGAAACGTAAAGATATATAAAAGTTTTCATTTGCGATTTTTTTGCGATCACTGTGATTTACCCTACGGGAAGTTAAAAATCACACTTCCATAATTAGGAATTAACAGAGCATAGTTCGATAGTTGATTTTCATTTTGATAGATCACTTGGTTTATTTCAAATATACAAAAAAACGTGCCTATTTTATATCTAATCTAATTAAAAAAGCTTCCATTTTAAAACAAAGCGATAAATTTTAATCTAATGTCATATATTCACAGTTTCAGATTTCATTACGCAAATGGGCGAAAAAAGTTTTTTTGCGGAACGCCGCGACCGATACATCATTCAGTTTTTCCGCCTATGCTGGGACACTTCGCTTACGTTATCATTCAAACAAAATGTACCCTTGAAAAATAAACAGCGCTTGATTGATGTAAGGTTATGCGACCATGGGACGTATATTAATGATGGTTTCGCACACGAATTTATGATTTTAAATTAATCTGTTGGTTACGATACCATTATGTTTTAAAGCTGTATTTATGATACATTTAACAAAATAAATTGAAGCAGAGGTGATTACGCATTTATCAGGTGTTTGATGCAATTTAGAACGGATTCAAAAAAATTACCTTGTTAATTGGAATTTTTTTGAAATATTCGAATTTTTAGTTTATTGGTATTGTATTATCTTGCTTATATATAATACAATATTTTTTCTAATTATTTATTGATCACATAATCTTTCTACATTGGCCATTTTCTAATGATACAATAATACCTACATCAAATACTTATTCTATCGTTACTAATGAATGTATGCAGGGTAAATTTTGCACTTCCATGTAATATTATATAATTATTGAGAAAAAACATAAAATGTGGTGAACATCATTTAGTTTTGTATTCATTGTCAAAGTCACAGTATGTTTTTGTAGTGAAATTATTCAAAATCTGTATTATACTAGAAATAAACAAATTCAGACAAAAAACAGAATGAACATAAAGCTAAATGAAACGCATACGAAACGTGAATGCTACAGCATTCAAATTTGAAAGTCAATTATTTTGAATTAAACTTTATACAATCCAACGTTTTGTAATTATTATACATGTCAAGGTGATGGTTAACTGATTCTTTAGGTATTTTCATATTATCTTTTTCCGTAGTCAACAATTAGTTTGGGAAAGCACCTTGCGTAAAATAGAAGTGTAATACTTGACGTAGATGGTATAGCATTCATATTATATTATATATATATATATATTATAGCGATTAAAATATGGTAATCTGACTACCCTTATAAATGGTGTTTAATCAAATTACGGATATTACAGCGAATTTAAAATTAAATTCTTTTAAACTTAAACTGTCGTCCAACGTGTAAAATCAAATTTACTTGTCCAAACTCTCAAGTAATATCTTTCAAAAGGCTTTTAAATTTTCAAAATTGGTTCTAGATTTTTGCAAAAATGTGGACAAAAAAATTGCATTTTTCTGCTAATTCTAAATAAACGGCCGAGGCGATAGTCTTGCAAAAATAACAAGCTTGAGCTTTCTTCGAGTTTTGTCGAATGGCTTTGAAAATCATGAGTTTAATAAATTTTAGTAAATATTATTATAATTTTATAAATGCTGCAATGATAATAATATGATACTAATAATTGTAGAAAAATCAAACAATTTAAAATATTATGTATGATAAAAATATTATACACCAATACATTATATATTTGAAATATTTATAAAATATGTATGTTGTTGTAATATATTTTTTCCAAATATTTCTAACATTGTTGAGTTAACAAAATGCTTAGTAATTGTTCTACCCCTGGTTTCCCAAAAATAAACTTCAAGTATATTCAAACTCAAAACAAAATGACTAAAAGATATAAATTAATCATAATACGATAATCGTTATCTTATAAATCGTACAAAGACAAAGAGATGAAATCCTTCTATAAATACCCTCCATTTACATCTCTTGTACTATTTGCTCGTATTTCTAAAATTAACAAACCCAACGGTCGTATTATCAGTTAAGATAGCGTCCAAGCGTCCGTCGTAATGAACCGTTGAATATTTAATTTGGTAATCCTCTTACCTATCAAGTAAGGACCGATTCTGGACCATGGTTTGTCGTACAAAGGATCAAACATCTCAAACGGAGCTGAAATTTTGGCAGTGTACTGGAACCAGATCGACACGTAGGCGGTGGTCACCCAGGATGAGACGAGGAACACGAGCAATGTGGCTACTACATACTTGAAATACCTGGTAAAAAGGAATAATACAAAATTATTATATGATAAAATAATTATAAATTTATATAATTTCTTTTCAACATTTATATTGATTTTTTCTCAAATTAAACAATTTTTCTCAAATCTAATCTCACAAATTGAATGAAAACACAATATTGCAGAAACCCCACATAGAGATTTTAATAATTTTTAACTGAATTTAATCATTTTGATCAATCTAACAAAATATTTGTAAATTATAAAATATCACATAAGCTTCACTTGTCATACTTACACAGAAAAAAATTATAGGTCAATGGGTGACCAAATTTTAAAATGAGTTTGGATTTTGGATTAAGTTTAATAAAAAACTTTTAATGTTTAATAAATATTAAACATTTTGCAAATTTGTGTGGTAAAAGATATGCATTTTACATAAGTTAGACAAAATTCAAAAATATTTTAGAGAATTAGTTAATTACCTCTATAATTACAAATAATATTGATTAATATATGCCATATGGATGATATAGATCTATGAAAAATTGAGAATGTTGTATCATATAGATAAATTTTATATTAATTATGTGACACTATTTTTTCTCATTAAGGCGAGATTGTTTTAATGTTAATAATTGTTAATTGACCATATGAGTTTTTTTAGAAATATATTTTTGGTCTAGTAAAATTTAATTTATTAGGTTATACAACTGGAATAATAAGTTCAGATTACTCCAAAATTTATTCCAGGCAAACTGTTGTTATTGTTCCATATGGAAAAAAGGCAATACAATGGTTTTATTAACATTTTTTACCGATTTAATAAATGCTCTATGATAAAAAGTTTTATAAAGGTAATTAAGGTAACTAATAACATACAATTGAAAATGAGATGTTGAAAAGGAGAATAATTACGAAAAAAGTGTAATTTTTATCTACGATTTAGCTTACAACTCGGAATTATTCCAAAATTTTAAAACTGAAACTTGAAAGATTACAGCTTAGAATCGTGCTAATTGGCTTTTGATAACATTCCGTCGCATCATTTACCGTGTACCATTTGGCAGGGCAATGGTTCAGTTGGTTCTTTTTACCCCACTCATGTCTAAATTTTTATAAAGGTTATATAAGAAAACTGTTGAATTTATCTAAAATAACAATACATCTTTTGAAAAATATAAATAACATAGACTTTAAAATTATATTAAGATCTCGTAAACTAAACAACATAGCTCATAGCCATAAATTTACCAACGAAAGAAAATACTTTTGTTATGGATTTTCAAACCTTGTCTCTAATCTCCCAATAGCAACATCGTAAGAATCAAGGTGATAAATAGTTGTACATTTTTTCCCTCTACTTTCAAATAACGTTATAAAATTTTTAACTTTACTTGTTTTTGAGATATTAGTGGTAGACCTTTTTACCCGCGGACCCTTAAATTTTGTTCTACCCTATTCTTTATTTATAGTACCCAAAAATTTAAATATTTGGATACCATATTCCACTGGATAAGAGCTGATCTACTTCAAATTCACTTTATTGACAAGCAAAATTATTTCCGCGGGTGTATTAATGTTGTATAAATATGAAACATATATGTACAAATCGATCTGAGTTTTCCATATTTAATATTCCCAGACTTTCATTTAAAGTTATTCGTGCATAATGTACATAAAGTTGGAGTAGCTACGTTATTTGATATCGCTTGAAATTAAATTTCAATTTTCGTCCGGCACATACATAATATCAAAGGAACGCGCCCCGTTTTATGGATGAATTCATGTTTTTCATTTAATAAAAAGTTTGTGTATTTTTTTAATTTATACTTCATCAGAGGGTTTTAAGTGTTGAATAATTTATGATTTTCTGTCTGCATGATTAAGTTATATGTGTGATGGTATGAACGAATAAACTTTTTAATCAATATTGAATTTTGTATTTGCATATTGTAGGGCTGTGGGAACAAATTCATTGCGCATTTTATATTAATCCGATGGTAAAAGATAAAAATATCAACCCTATGAGTCTTGTGAGTCGGCTACACTGGGAGTTCAATAATAAAATATGCTCAATGTTACAAGGAAAGCAACTTTTAGGGGCAAAATGATTGCTCCTTTTGATACAAGATTTAAAACATTTGAATACAATGAAGCTTTATTCGCTGCATAGTTGATTTTATCAAAGCCTTTTAAAATAGAATGATGTGATAAGATTATATATCTATAACAATTTACTTAAAAAAGAAATTAAAATACATCAGTAAATATTTGTGCCAACATCACCACAAATATAAGGTAACTGGAATTCGGGCAAACAACTAGCAAATAGCTAAATAAATAAACACACACTAGTAATTCAAAGCTTTGACTAAAATGCTGAAGTTAGTAATCATGCCAAAAGTATATACAAACTCACACAACTAATTAGCTGCGAAAAATAACGCTTTGAAACAGTATGAGGGTATGCGACAATTTCTTCATAATTATGAACGCTCTAGTAATTAGACAAAATACAATTTTGCCAGAGAAAGTTGGAACAGTCGTAACTAAAGTTATTACTGTTACCATATCACAGAGTAGTAAAAAATATAATAGAAACTTCTTATGAGCAATTTTTTTAAATGCTCTTTTAAAAATTAGATTAGTTTTTTTTTGATATCACAACAGTACAATTTTTCTTATGCATCAACTTAAATATTGATGCTGATGATAATAAAAGCACGTGATTATTCCAATAAATTATTTAGACGATCGAGAGTCTATTTAGACTAGCCAGCAAAACACACAATTTTTACTGGCTAATTTTCAGATTATTTAATTATTATGGATAAAAATGCATTTAAAAATTAAAAACTGCTTTTAAAATATCGGTTAATACGTGCTTTCAAAACCGTCGGCAAAAACTTGTAATATGTATTAGCATATACATACACACACACTCATACATCATTTTTTTCTAAAGTTTTCCAAAATGTTCAGAGGGCTGGGAAACGTGAAGAAACATACAAAATTTCATTTTTGATTAGGAGATTATTACTATAATCTACAGGATGCTAATAACTAAAAACCACGATAACAAATTAAAATTCTCAAAATTGAATTATTAACTCAGAACGATAAATATTGAAAAAAAATTTTCACAGCGGGTGTCGTCTATAGGTGACAATCGACGACACATCTCGTAGAGAGTCATCGTAGACGCTCGTATCAAAAACCATAATATTATGTATATATATATATATATATATATATATATATATATATATATATATATATATATGGTCCTTGGTCCGTGGTCCTTAAAATGGCCATTTTCGCATTTCCTAGCTCCCAGGGGCTCAAATGGTTCCAAATTGATAAAAAACAATTCTCTGAAAGTTTTACTTAATATTAACGTTTAGATAAAGCGCAATTCAATCGAACTTCGTATGGAAAGAACATGGAAAAAATTTTGAAAAATTAAAAAAAATGTTTTAGGTATAACTTAGCGACAAATGAATAAGTTTTATTCATTCATTTGTTCGCTAAATTACATTTATAAAACATTTTTAAAGTTTTTGAAAATTTTTCCATGCTATTTCCACACAAAACTTTGATTGAATTGCGCTCTATCTAAACGTTAATATTAGGAGCTAAAACTTCCAGAGAATTGTTTTTTATCAATTTGGAACCATTTGAGCCCCTGTGAGTATGGAAATTCGAAAATGACCATTCTAAGGACCACCCTTATATATATATATATATATATATATATATATAGATATTAATTATGTATAAAATGATATAATGTTGAATTATTTAAAAATAACATTGACTTATCATTTTATATGAAATCAATCTTCTCAATATCAGTAACATAAATTAAAATATGAGATCTAACCAAGAAATCTACGCAAATGCCATTATCATTTAAAATCAATTTAGAATTTATTACGTACTTGAACGAGAATAGCAACATCAAGACTCCGATAATGTAGAACTGTGTATCATTCGCCATGTACCAGGACCAAACCATGCACATCTCTTTCTGAGGATACAGATTGTTCACGTACAGTATATTACGCCACCAGTACAAATTGCAAGTGATGTGATCCTCGATTCCGGGTTCGAAGACGCTATTATTGAATGTGTACCTCATCATGACTTCGTTAACTCCGATCACGAACAAATAAGCCGGGGTTAATCTCAAAACTCGATACAGAAGCATCACGAAGAAACGGAGAGCGTGGTTTCGAAGTGTGCTAGATTTGCTGTTGGTAGATATTGGAGCGTTTGTGACGGAAGATGGTGTTGAAGTCACTTGGCTGACTTGATGGCAGGAAGAATTCTTGGAAACACTCGGGTTGCTGCCGTTCTTTGGAGAGTACGTCCGGTAGTAAAGAATCGTCAACAGAAGACCACTGAAATATAATAAAAGTCTGTTAATGATAATTGAAGCTTGAATATAATGTCTGTTTTATAATCTATATGCTTGATAATAGTCTTTAATTAAATACTACAAAATTCTAACACATTTACTGCTGCGCACTCATATTCAGTGAGATTCGTTGTCAATAGCCACTATTTTATTCTGTTCTGGTACAGTTTTTCCAGCTAACATTTTCTGGTTTTATTTAATATTAAACGAATACATAGTTTAGCAACAAGAGGTTAGCAGGGAATATGTTAAACTAAAATCTAGAGGTAACAGCTCAACCTCCTAAACTTACACGTTTTACTAATTACAAAAAAAAGCTTTGAGATCGGTCAAAGTTGCATAAATCTAATCAACGCGAGTACTTAACAATGAAGAATGTCTTCAGAATTGTTGAAATAGGATGTGCTGCTTTGGCGAACCTGTCGACCAAAGTCCAAACACTAAAATATCCTATTTACCTGCTCATCAGATTATCTGTCCACCGATATACCTGTTCACCAATATATCCACCAATATACCTGTCAATCTGTTTATCAGTCTACCAATTCAGCTACCAACCAATTAAGCTGTTTAACCAATTATGTCAACCAATTTACCTATCTATCAATTTACCTGTCTATAAATGTACCTGTCTATAAATGTACCTGCCTATAAATTTACCTGTCTACCAATTTACCTGTCTACCAATTTACCTGTCTATCGATTTACTTATCAACCAGTTTATCAATCCACCATTTTACTTGTCAAAAAATGTATGTGTTTACCAAAGTACCTATCATCCCGTTCTACATGCCTACCAATAAACATGTCAACCTGTTTATGTGTCTACATATTCATCTATCTACCAGTAGTCTTGTCTACCATTTTATATATCCTCGAATTTACCAGTCAACCAGTTTAGCAATATATATAGTTTAGTGATATATATAGTTTTACTTCTTCAAACAAAAAACTTTTTATATCCCAGGTTCAAATGACAAAGCTCAACGACCTAGAAACAGATAAAACTTAAAACAACATGTATGGCAAAATCATCTATCAATGTTATACAGGCTTAACAAATTTATAAGGGTTAAAATGTACGAAACTTTTTTATACATAGCTCGCTCTCGTTCCTTCAAACAACTCTTAATAAAATAATTAAAATTTAACTATGTCAATTCATGTTTTTAGACATACCAACTGATGGTGAATGAAAGTGTTCAGATTTAAAACTTCTTTATAAGATACATCTTTGATAGAAATTTATAGAAACAACGCTCATGAGTACAGCCTAATAAACTGAAGCCAACACTAAGTCTCTAGAATACATATTTTACAAACAAGGTAAGTGATTTGAACACCAGGGTCCTATGTAATTTCGAATCATCCTCAGCTTACATTATAAATCCAAAGAAAAGCCTTATGTGATAAGAGAAATATATCAGACATCTAAATCAAACGAGGAAGATAATACAAAGTGGCGTTTTCCTTCGGATAAATCGTTTTCCTTCATGTGAAAAATTCGCGCAGAATCCTCGTACAGATTCGGGAGATACATATTAAACCCTTTTCTCAGGCTTCACAGTTGAATGTATTACAATAATCTGTGGATTTGCTTGTTTTGTATATTTTAGGTCTGATTCGATCTTATCAAGACGCGCTTGAGCGCATGACTGATCGCTTTCCTGGAATCCAAATTGGGAGATCTAAATATATAATAATGTAATGGAGGTCGCATAATTTAGGAAGACGAAAGTGGAAAATGACATCCTATTGAGTGGTATCTATCAAACCCGAACTTGAAACAATCAAATGAAATTGAAACCATCGACCGAACTTACCACGGGCATAAATATATGAAATAGTGGTGCACCGCTCATTACATTTTTGCACAAAGTATCATAATTTTTTTGTCATTAGATTTTCATATGAATCAAAGCTTGTTTAAATCATTTAGAAAAGATCAAGCGAATTAAATTAAGAAAAATGAATAAAAAATAATATTATAGTTTCCGAAAATTAAATTGAATTGAATTTCCTCAATGAAAAAAAAGCTAACCAATAATAGAAAATATATAGGTATGCAATCAATTGCATACAGATTATGCCTTAGAAAATATTATTAAATATGTTAATTTAGTTGAATAATATTATACTATTAACTCACAAATGTGAGTATAATATAATCAGTTATTGATATAAACTTTGTAAAAACATTTACTAAAACTTGTTTTTATGGCTTTCCATAAACTTCCAGGGGATGAAATTCATCGTGTAATCCCGCTGAGAATAGATGCATTTTAATATCATAAACATCGGAACATCAACGATATTTCTCATGGCTGCATAACCATAAATAAACAATCATGTAATAATAAAAGTGGGTATATATTACAAATAAACAGAAGTACGAATAACAGAAATGTATGTTCTAGTTTAAAAATCTGCTTTTGTTTACTTAGATATAGAATGAATTTTCATTGTATCATCGATGATTAAAAATTATCGTAATTTTTGAAACACCCAGTTATGCCATAAATATGCATAAATTATATAAATATATTTGAATTTGCCATTAGGAAGGATGGATGAACCAATTCTAATGTATTGAAAATGCTCGAAGTCTTCTAGTTTTTGTAGAAATATGAAGCCGATCTATGATAAAAATGTCTAATAAATGGGTGATCATTCAAAAATTAGTACTTTAAATGATGCACATCAGATTTTTTATAATATTCACCACAATGCATAATGTTTCATTTCTAAATATTGGCTAAATTACTAAATCAAAATTTATTAAACAATTTTAATACATTATATTTCATTACTATTATTTTCGTTTAATGGTGAGTCTAGATAATATTTTGACAATTGTTTATACAATAGAACGAACCAAAGAGATATGTTTCAAGCAATTAGAATATTTAAGGCTTGAATGGTTCTGAGAAGTTTATAAAAATATTTAACCAATTTGTACAATTATTTTTCAAATCTTATTCAACCAGTTACCTGTGGAAGTTTTGTCTTGAGGTAAAATGCCGTTCACAATTTTATACGACTAAGCTTAATGCTAAATTTTCTGTAAGTTGAGATATTATTTTCTATCTAAAAATTGCAAACTAAATAAGCATTGGTGAAAGTTTTATACGCATGACAAGAATACTCATCAATACATAAAATTTTGTCTTTTCCCCATAACAAGTGTATTTATCAACCACAGTTAATAACATTCTGATCATTATAGAAGTAGATACATATAAAAGCAATGTGCATTGCCATAAAAATCTGATACAAAATCGATATACAACAGTGTAAACCAATATGAGAATGTTCAGTGAAGGCATATATCTAAAGTTAAAGGTATACGTAATTATTCAAGAAAACGAAATATAAGAACTTTCTATACCCAACAAAAAGTTCAGCCTGACTTGGCTTCGGCTCACTATTGAATTTTCCACCGCACGCGTTAATGGTCGATGAAAAAGAACTTGCGACTATGTATCTGAATAGAAAGGAGTCGTTCCAAGAATTTTCTTTAATCCTGGGTTTCAGTGACTGCAAATGATATTAAATTTTACGGTGATGCAGTCAGCGAATACATAATGAGATGTGAGATAGTATTTCCAATGATAAAATGTAAATCGAGCTTTTTTGCGTTAGCGAAGAAAAGAAACTTAATATAATATTTAATGAAAGAAACTTAAACAGCGACACCTAGTAATAGAAATAAATTTTTATACCGTTCCTAACGAGTAGTATAAGACGAGATTTTGCTTGGAATAATGTTAATCTAAGAAAATGAAGGGATAAGTGACTGCGTATGCTATATTATCCCAAGTACAAAGTATACTAGTAATACTTTGATAATAATGATAGCGATAGTATATTAATAAGAATGTGATAAATTGGCCGAGCCGTTTCTTCGCAATTTAATGTTAAATGTTTTCAGGGGGTTTTATCTGAATGAACATCCTGAAATATTAGAGGCCTACTAAAATGATTGAATTATAAAAAGGTATTTTTGTTTGGAATATTGGGATGCGCCCTGAGCGTGTTTGCACACTATAGTTAATATAATTGCATTGATTAGTTTTTAATACATGCGAAAACTTAATTTTGAAACAAACAGTTCGACTTTTTTTCTTAATAGCTAAATCTCCATTTTTATTAATAAAGTCGATTATTTACATGTATAAAAAAGGTATATGCAACTTGCTTCAAGATAAATTGACACAAGTCTAGTTAAAGTATTGTATTTATATTGATTTTTTACTTCAGTTGGATGAAATCACTTCATACTCACATATTGAATTTGAGTATTCCATAGTGTAATGGTTAAGCTCACAGGGTCGTGAGTTCGAACTCCGCTCTGAACAATCAGACATTGTGCAGTAGCTATGTCCATTTTCAATATAGATAAAAAATATGTTTGCAAATGCCCATTTTTGACACTGCGGCGTGAAATGGCAACGGGGAATGTCTCACACTATTCTTCTCGAAATATAGAGTTTAACTCAACTCACGTACCTGCCCCAGGACGGTACTACCCGTTAGACACATTGCGGAAATGACCAGCAAGTTGCATTTTGGCAAAATGCAACTCACCTCTTTACAATAAGAGTTTTGTTATAGCAAAGGGGGTAATATATTTAAACACATAGCATGTTTGAATATTTGCGATTCGAATTCTTCAGCAGTTGTTTGCAACAAGAAAGTTAGATTAGATGGTGTATAACTTACCTGATGAAGAAAAACGTATCAACGGAGAATGTTGCATTTCCAACTGTCTGGTAGAGATAATTTCTTTCGGTGATATTCCTCAATCGTTTATTATCAGCAACTGCATAAAGTTGCATGTAGGTATGAACCATGATGATCCAGGCCAGCGATAAAAATCGCAATCCGTGAATGCAGGCGATGGAGTCACGTGGCGGTGCATCGGTCGCCAACACTTTACGGCCATTGGATCGCACAGAAAAGGCCAACAATAACCGCGAACATAAACCTGGAAAAATAAAATATGTAAATAATAACAAATGTAGTTTATTGCTATTTGAAATTACAATTGCAATCGTAAGTTTCTTGAAAAAAGACACATTACAAATAGTATCTATTGACACACAAAATTTCGAAACATATCTGGGATCTCAAACAAAAGTTCGATACACCCTTCGAGCAGTCTGATGTCGGTGCAACATAACATAGGGTCCTCAAATTCTGATCTCTGTTTAAATTAATAATATTATATGAAAAATTCACACATAATTTAAAATCTTTCAATCTGACTATGTAAAAATATAAACGATTAGTTTAGAAGTAACTGTCATCAAGGAGTTTGCTAATGAATTTGGGTGACTAATTAGCTTGTTTCTATACTTCTGTGCTGTTTTTGTTATTACTTTATTTATGGTAGGTGTATTCGTGTCGACATGAATTAACCAGTTGGAAACATATTTTGGAGCGCCCAAGGCAATTTTCAAAAAATTGTTTTGAAATTTCTGTATTATTTCTATATTAGTCTTATGAGCACTGCCCCACAATTGTATACCATAGCACCAAATTGGTTTGAATAAAGATTTATATAAAAGCAGCTTATTGTATGAGCTTAGTTTGGATTTAGTTCCTAGTAACCAGTAACGCTTTTTGGTTTTTATTTCAAGCTGTTGTCTCTTTTTTTATATGAGTTCGCCACTTAAGTTTTCTGTCGAGGTATATACCGAGATATTTCGCATGGTCTTCTTGAGGTACTTGAGTGATCCTAATATTGTGGTTTTTATATCGAATGGAAAAACAAATGCTGAGTTGTTTTTCCAACATGACCTTTTAGTATACAATGTCCCTTTTCGGCCGACTATTGTAAATTTATCAAATTTATTAAATGTCCTTATCTGGACAGTTGTAAATAAAAAAAAATAAAAAAAAAATAGTTTAGAAATAACTGAACCTACCCAATTTGTTATACTTAATCATTCAAAATAATTTATATAAATTTAACCATGGCCTTCTTATTAAATAATTTCATTTAATTTGATGAAGTAATTTAAAAAATAAATCGGTAAGATAAGAAAAAAATACCATTACTATTTAAAAAAATACTTACCTTAAAAATTGGAACAATATACAGATTGTTGTAACAATTTTTAATTTTGTTTAAACACAATATGTGAAATATATTTCATTTAACAAAAAAAAGAGTTTAAAAAAATTAAATCTAATAGAAATTTATATTTAACTGCGGGGAAAGGGATGAATTATCGCTAGCCAAGTAATATTGTAGAAGTCTACAAGTTTACAAAGGAAACAGAAATTCTCTAGTATATTCGATTCGTGTATCAATTTTCTTACCTATGGTGGGTTTATATCTGGACTTGCTATTAGTTTTCTGGTATCCTTGTGATCCAACAGCTGACGTATTATTGTTGGACTGAATTTCTATATCTTTTAATAACATAGAAGATTTCTGTCGAATCAGGTACGTTTCATACAGAGATGCTATACCCATCAGTATCAACGTGGCTACTCCAAAACCACTGAAAGTGAAAAATAGATGTAAAGAAAATATATGATATGAAATCCAAAATATACAAAATTATATATCTTCTATATATATAAAAATAAGTCGGGTTTTCCTTCCTGACGAAATAACTCCAGAACGCACGAACCGATTTCGACAATTTTGCATTAGTTGGAAAGGTCTCGGGCTCCGCAAGGTTTATAGCTAAGAAAATTAGTTGTGCATGGCATCGTGCCTTAATGCAAGCTGCTGGAACTTCACGCACCGTAATTAAAAATTCGAGCAATAAAAATAATCAATAACTGTTTTAAATCATTTCAAATAGATTATCTTCTATATATATAAAAATAAGTCGGGTTTTCCTTCCTGACGAAATAACTCCAGAACGCATGAACCGATTTCGACAATTTTGCATTAGTTGGAAAGGTCTCGGGCTCCGCAAGGTTTATAGCTAAGAAAATTAGTTGTGCATGGCATCGTGCCTTAATGCAAGCTGCTGGAACTTCACGCACCGTAATTAAAAATTCGAGCAATAAAAATAATCAATAACTGTTTTAAATCATTTCAAATAGATTATCTTCTATATATATAAAAATAAGTCGGGTTTTCCTTCCTGACGAAATAACTCCAGAACGCACGAACCGATTTCGACAATTTTGCATTAGTTGGAAAGGTCTCGGGCTCCGCAAGGTTTATAGCTAAGAAAATTAGTTGTGCATGGCATCGTGCCTTAATGCAAGCTGCTGGAACTTCACGCACCGTAATTAAAAATTCGAGTAATGACATTATTGAGAATTATCAGAATTATGCTTGGTTAAGTCAACGAGCAATTCTTGCCGCAAAGAATAATGATGTACACGCCCTGAATTTCACAATTCAATAAAAAATTGCTGACGATTTGGTGACATACCAATGATTCTGACTGGTCTTCCGTTTGACTTCAAACGATTGCAATATCCAGTTCGCCTTGCGTTCGCAATAACATGTCGCAAGACCAATCGCTTAGTGTTTGCGGGATAAATTTCAAATAGATGATTTAGAAAATCATTGTTTTTCACATGGGCAGTTATACGTTGCCTGTTCACGAGTTGGAAAACCATCCGCTTTGTTTGTATTAACGTCAGACCAAAAACAAAAAATGTGGTTTACCAAAGATCACTTCCATGAAACGGATAATTTGCCCAAACGGATTCACTTTCATTTACTTAGAGAAGTTCAACTAAAAAACACTTCATTTTTGTAATCAAAATAAATTCGTTACTATTGTATGATAAAATCAAATTTTTCCTTTTAAAATATAAAACAAACAAAAAATTTCTTCATCTTTCTCACGAAACCATCTGGTGGCGAAACGGAGTTCGTCGGGTTTGCTAGTATATTTATATATATGTATATATATATATATATATATATATATATATATATATATATATATATAGCTATTAGATCGTAATTAAGTTTTTGTTTATATTAATCTGCAGGGTTGGTTTTCAGTTAAGGTAGGATTAAGGAATCAATCTATTCATAGGCCATTAGGCTTGAATAAATAAATATATTAAAAATATATCACATCTAAGCATACGATTAACATTTACAATCTTAATTTTCACTGCCATAGTATTAACTAGACATATCATCTATAAACTAATAAATAATATAAATAAATAAAAATGTCATTATAATAAATGTTCACTTTTTAATATTATATATAAGCATTGAAACATTTTTTAATAGAATTCTTATTTAACACCATGATAACAAAACTTTATCGTTTGATTTAATTAATTATTCCAGATGTCATTATTGTCGTAATATGAATTAAAATTTACTCATTTGGCTTTCAGTGAGGCAATGTCCATCAGTCTTTCAGAGTTCAGATAAAAGGTAGTCTTCCAATAGGAAATCATAATACAAGCAAATTAAATTAACAGATATTGATTTTAATACAGTACAAATCTTGATTTTGTACCAATATATAAAAATCCTTATGGAATGGGGCTCTCAGTTTTACTCTCGTAAGCTGATATTTCAATATTTGAGTAATATTTTTGAAATTTCAGATAAATTAGTTGTTGAACAATATAAGAAAATTTATCTAATTTAAATACGGTGCTTAAGAGTAAATAAAATTATTTTGATTTATTTTAAAAAAATATATATCATTTTAAGTTAGTAATTTTGTCTATTATCTGCTGATGGAATTGTGATATTTGCTAATAGTCCAAGAATCTATTAATTGGTGTATAAATATAGTACTTGCATATATGCTGATGCTATAATGATAGCAAAAGCTAACCATATTGAAATACTGAGTTGGTTTTGCTCACCCAATAACATAGAATTTTTTATCATCCCATATTCTATATGGTCCAGGAACAGGGCGAACGAGCATAACAGAATAGGTGTCACCGACAGTCGCCGGGGAGCTATTGTTTCGGCTGGAACTCAACAGAGACATCAGATCTTCGGATTTGCAAGAAGCCGGCAGACATTCGCCGACCCACAGCAACCGGGGCTATGAACATCAAAAGCAAGATTGACTTTGTGTTTGTGATTTATGGTTCCATATAATATGATGGTGTATATTACAATGATTCATTTGAATTGAATTAGATCAGTCACACATGCTTATCTACAGAACTATAAGCATTATGCCTATTTAGACCCATTAGGCCATTAGGGTATCAATACTAAAATAAAATAATCACTTGGCAATTCTCGAAATTCCTTTTACAAAGGAAATAATGACGTACTTAAAAATTAAATCGAATTATCTCTACCATTTAAATTAAGGAAATTCTAATAATTATGTATAAAATGATACTGATATCTATTTTTTATTTATTACATGCCTAAGAAATATTTTTAGGAATATTGTTAAAAATCTACATCTTTAATCAAATAGCCTGTTCATGCCAAAATCAAAGCATTCGATATATTGATATAGAAACAAAAGATATAAAAAATCATCATAAAATAAAATCAATCAAAACAATTAAACTATGAAAATATTGTAAATACAAATACAATTTATAGTTAATTTAAAATAAAAACATAATATCACAATTAAAGTGTTTTACAAATAATTGGTCCTTCGAAAAATCAATCAAACCCAACAAACATATCCTTTACATTATTATGAAGAGAAAATGATTATTAAAGCTAAAGATAAAAATGTTTTTGTCATAAACAGTTAGATGCTAATTTTTTGTTTATGGCATGAACATTTATTAAGTCTAAGTTTTTGGTTATTTTTATAATCAACTTTAGGTTTTTGGTTATTTTTATGTAATGAAACATTACGTTTTTTGGACACAAAAATAATGCATTTTAATAAAAATAGAACTGTTGTTTTTATATGTAAAATTACTTTTAAGGTGACTGTTCGCATTCAAGTGCGTGGTAGTTTGCTAGTTTATGTATAATAGATAAAATTGAGACGTGATAGTTCAATATGTAATAGGATACACTTTTATAAAACTAAATACCACTATAAAAATAAATCATGTTTTGTAAAAATCTAAACAAAAAATCGAATAAAAAATTATTTATATCAAGCTATTTAAGCGCAATCTTTGTGTTTTGTTCTTTTTTGACCAAAATATGAAGTTAGAACTCCACAGAAGCATATATTTTTGACGCACATATGAAAAGGAATATTTCAGATGATACAGTTTCAATATGTATGATAATAACGGAAAAACTAGTTAATCTAATATAAAATGAATGATAATTAGTTTGTTTCAATGCTTTCTTTTTATTTATTTTTTTATTGATTTTTTAATATAATCCTTAATCCATAATAGTAATTAAAATAATAATTAAAAAGTTATTTTAGTGCTTTTATATAATATTGATTATTTTTGACACAGAAGCTACTAATTTACCTTTAATATCTATAATTGTATAATTGTGTTGTATAAATACGTGTTTCATCGAATATATATTAACGGAAATATAGATATCTAGATGACACGACAAACGTTGCCATGTAGCCCCATGTCTTCAATTTTTTAATATAATATACTAATATTTACCGTATTCCTAAAAATAATAATTAATAAGTAAGTTTATTTTTTTGCAGATGATAGTTTTCATTTGTTTCCAATGCAAACAATGATATATTGTTTTTTACAATTTTTTCCATTTATTTCTACAATATTGCACATACATCCCAGTACTTTATAATCACATACATCCTAGAAGCTTTTCTTAACAAACTTCAAAAAGATTTATCAGAATCCGAATAATCATTTAGAAGGAGTATACAGTGAGTGCTTTTAATTTAATATGAACTTTATATAATAGCAATAAAGCTCAAATTGATTATACGTTTTAGTTAGAAAACGTTTGTATGAGAAAAAGAAAAGGGTTGTTTTTGGGGTTTTCCCCGAAATTATTCGATTTTTTCTTGCCGTAAGAACCATCCTTGGACTTCAACAAACATTTTAAAAAAAGAATTGGCTGAATTGGTCCAGGCCTTATTGAGTTATGCACTTACCAACACGTTTTGCGATTCATTTTTATATATAAGATAATGTAAAAAGTAGTTAATGAAATATATAGTATATAATAAGAATTTTATTTATTATTTTGAATTAAAGATTATATTAAAAAAAACAATAAAAAGAAGTGTTAAACTGTAAAAAAAAGAAAGCATTGGAACTTATTTAATTTAAATGGAAGAAATAATTAGTTTGTTCCAATGCTTTCTTTTTATTACAGTTTAACACTTCTTTTTATTGATTTTTTAATATAATCTTTAATTCAAAATAATAAATAAAATTATTATTTTAATTCTCTTATATAACATTGATTATTTTTGACCCAAGTCACCGATACGCCTTTTATCGAATATAGATTATTATATCTTATTCCACATACAAACACTTATGTAAGTTATATGAAGAATTTATTACTAAATAATAATAAAACACACTGTATTCAATTAAATCTCCAGCATCTTAAATCCATTTGGAATGTGCGCAATGTGAAGAGAGCTATGATATTTGTAAATGCCATCGGTCGAACAAAATTCCTGTTAAAATATTGCCAGATTTTATTAAATATCTATATTGAATAAACTATAAGTTTATTAAATGCCTAAACTCTTGTCGAGTAATTTCGAGAATGTAAATATTTTATGATAAGTACTTGATTAAATATTCGAATCTTTCGCAAACATTCCTGAAGAAACATGAAGCTTAACGAAATAACCTACTTTACAATCGAGATGGTAACGATGTCTCTTGGTCATTGATAAAAGAATATGAATGATATTTTGGGGAAAATTGAGGCAATATATTCGCTGTTGGAGAACCTTACAATGAAAAAGTAATATTTCTGTAAACTGGCATATAATGCGCCTACATGCGTCCTAGCATACTTACATTGTCATTCCGGACATGCATGTACAATCTGGCGACGTGGAATGCGACTTTGTATGGTGGAATTTCTGTGTTAGTCGGTGCATTCTGCAGCTCGGTGCACAAAGTTTTTGATCCCAGCCAAAATTCGTCGCCCATAAAATATTGGCCTGTGTAGCGGCCGGATGCATCGTTCACTGTAATAAATCATATCATGAATTTAATCAGCTTACCTTTCAGCAAAAATTCATTTTTAGTCGAGAAATAAAATTATAATAAGAAAATTTGTACTTTATTAGTAATCATTCAAAATTATTCATACATTGTTTAGATTGGTCAGTTTTTAAATAATATTTTTTTATGGTAATATTGAAAACTAAATACACAACGCTTTATTCTAGAATCTACAAGAAAACTGCAGAATCCTATCAAGTCACACATATCCTTAAATAAATTATATATTCAAAACAAATTAAGACAATTCAAGTTTGAAGTTAGAAATGCAAATTATTATTTATTATTTATTAAATGTATATATAAAAAAATTACACAAAAATTGTTGAACACGTGGGACATGTGTATCTTTAACATTTTATTGTAAATCCTTTATAACCTTTAAAAATTGAGCTACCAGTGGGGTTAAATAATGCTGTCCAATGGCTCAAAAAAAAAAGGTGGTCTATATTGTACTCTATTTTAGCAGATATAAGGAAAAAAATTGTGGGCTATTAATAGATGATCGCCATCTCCATCTGCCTTATGTAATTTAGTAAGAATTAGCAGATACAACTCAAAATCATTATCCAATTGTACCAATCTATAAAAACTATGGCAGCAATTATTTGGGATATATAAGGGTTTTTAATTAATTATTTTAGTTAATTATATAAACAGTGAATTTTTACTCATTTCTTTAGTTCTTTATTGCATAGCCTTAGTTCAAAAGCTTCAAGTGGTGTAAAAAATTCTACCATTTTGAAATACTTAGAATTAAGGTGACCATACGTCCCGGTTTGACCGAGACAGTCCCGCATTTTCACCTTGTGTCCCGAGTTTTTTAAAAGCAATATTTGTCCCGAATTTAGTTTTTTTTGTCCCGGATTGTCCCGGGTTTTCAAAAAGTAAAGATCTAAATTAAACCTTCGCTATTACATAATAAGATTACAACTACATATCAAATATCGAAGATGTTATGTACAACAACTATTATGCTTATATAAAAAACACGGGTTAAAAGAGCCTCTCATATTCATAATTTTGAACTTTTCTTTTCAATTTTAAGAAAATTAACAAAACATATAAAAGTGTACTTTTTGACTGCCTGGAAAAGGTGCTAATTATTTTTGAATAATTATAAAAAAAAATTAATAAAATTTTATAATAAGCTGAAAGAACATATAGATTCAAAAATATAATATGTTTTATATAATCGAATAATAGAGTTCTTAGTCAACAATTCTGATTTAAAAAAAAATACTCATTTAAAAAAGACGGATTTTTATTGCATTCCTAAATAGTGTTGGTTATTTCAAAATCAACTTGAACTTTTTAGTATAAACACCCCGTTCCGTCCCGGATTAGTATAACTAAAATTTATCTTCCCGGTTTTGACTTGAAACTAGCTGTAAGTGGAATTCTGTCTTAAGGCAATTAAGGCATCGTGCCTTAAGGCAAATTGCTGGAACTTCCCGTACCAAAAATTATAATTTTTTTAAAAACGATTAACATTTTTGAAAAAAAAATTACTTTGAAAAAATAAGATTTTTGGGAAACTATAAATTGGACAAAAAATAACTTTTTTTTGAAAAAAAAATTTTTTTTTAAAAAAAAAATTTTTTTAATTTTTTTTTTTTGAAAAAAAAAAATTATTTATTTTGACATATTGTGGAAGATCTGAACTTTTTTTCAAAGCAATCGTACTGCTTTAACTGCATAGGCACAAAATATAAAGCGCGTAAGCGCCGCGTCGCTGTCTAACGCATAAGCATTGGTACGGAACCCATAGGAATGTTAACAAAATGTATACTTATTGTTAAAATCTCTATAAAATATCTGATAATTTGATGTGCATATGTCTAATGATCATTTTTGACCGCCAAATGGCTCATTTTTTAACTTTTTCCTCCATATCTCCGAAACCGCTAGACCTACCTTCATGAAAATTTCATCGATTTTTCATCTTGTCAATACAAGTGAAATGTTTTTTGAATTATTCAAATCGGGCGATCCGTTCTCTTAAAAACTGAGTTACCGTTTTCGGCACTTTTTGCCCCGTATCTTCGGAACGGCTAGACCTGCCTTCGCCAAAAACTAATCAGCACGTCTCCTTATCAATACGAATCGAATGTTTTTTGAATTATTCAAATCGGTTGATCCGTGTTCCTGAAATCGTCGACGAAAATTTGTATCCGCACATACATACACACACGTACATACATACACACACACACACACATACACACACACACACACACACACACACACACATACATCCATTTTTTCTAAGGTATGCCAAAATGTTCAGAAACCTCTGAAACCTAAAGATATATAAAAATTTTCATTTTCGATTTTTTTGCGATTACTATAACTTACCCTACGGGAAGTTAAAAATATGGTCACCTTATTACAAAGAGGTTTTTTGGGGGATTAATGTAGCAAATTATTGCTCCCTGAACTGTCGATGATTAATTCAATTTAAATATTTTTTTCGGTTGTTTTGTTTTAGATGCTTCGTTTTATGGTAATACAACTATAATATTGTGCAAAATTATTAGTGCGACAAAGTACATTAGATAAATTATTGTCTGATCGAGATACAGTATAAATTTATATTATTATTAATTAAAAAGGAGCGTTAATTTATCAAATAAACATTAAATATATTCAGCATCTAACATTAATTATTCCTTGCATTTTTTCCATATTTATTTTTATAAATTCAGTAAAAATATTTATTTTTAATGAATAATTATTACAAAATAATGATCAAGCGCATAATGGAATATTAATACCACTATTGGCTTATCATTAAGTTATCTATAAGTTATACGAAAAGTATTAAAATAGAAGATATACATTACACATAAATAGAAATTTATACAAATTCAAAGCATAAAAAAGTTTTAATTAATAGTAATGTTCCATATTACGCTACGTAGAAACGTAGTTCTACGTATTAGTGTTTACTCACTAATCCTTTCGGAGAAGTTTTAGAAGCCGTCATAAAAGATATGAAAACTTTTGTGGCTTATTGTTACCGCCGCCGTATAATTAAGTAAACTTAGAATAAGCATGAAACTACGACAATCACTAAAAAGAAATTGTCATTACAATGTACCAAGCAGTAAAGATTAACAGCTGCAAATTTAATTGCAAATAACTTTGTATGAAGGCCTCAGTCAAAACTTGAACTTGTATTACGGCGACGAGAGTTCGTCAACGCAGTTCGAGCTTTCATAACATAAGAGACAAATTACTAACGTTAAACAATTGGAATTTTGATTGAAGTGAAACTATACACATATTTTTGTTATAGTGAAAATGTAAAGACAAAATACCAAGTTTCTTTAGAACAATTTGCGAATAAAATATAGAACTAGTTGGTTGCATAAATCTCAAATAATAGTTTGCGTTGAATAAACCTACAATAAAATAAATATAGTATAAAAATGCAAATTGAAATTTGAAATTTGTAGAAAATTAAATGTTCAATATTAAATTAAATATTCAAAATTCAATGGAATTAAAAAAAAATATTGATTTTAAACAATAGAAAAAAATTCAATATAAAAAATAGAACTCTTTCAATAAAAATTATAAAAATTATAAAGTTATAGAAAATATGCAATGCAACATTCTGATCGTTAGAATCGATCATTTATAAATATATAAATATAAATATCAGTTATATAAACTGTATGTATAAGCAAGAAAACCAAAGATATGTGAAGGCCAATAAGCATTCCCAACTTTTAAACAAAATACGAAAGTATGGTTTTAAATGTTAAAAATGTCTATTTTTGCTATATAAAAATATATTAAATAAACTTAGAATATGCGGTATACATAAAATATATTACTACAGGCTGTAAAAAAATTTCAAAGTTTTGATTCTTATTTTTTGAACAGAAATTAAGACTTGACAGTATTATGAGCTTGTATGAAACTAATTATATTTGATATAATTTTAATATTTGATATAATCTAATTATATTTTTTAAATATATATGATTAGAGTTGATCTAATAATGATTATATAATCTTTAATAAATTTAATTTAATTAGATATTTTTGATAATCTTATACTTAGTAACTAAAATAATAAACAAAATTATATAATAGATTTGAAATATATAATTGATAGGTCATATTATCAACAAATCTGTACATGCAAAAAAGAACATAAAAATATTTGATTTATCCAAAATGTTTTCGTAGTTTAGAAATTAGCATATGTTTCATCTACCTATAGTGTATATTTGTATTAATACATAGTTTACGTGAACACAATTTAAATTATAATTCATTAATAATTTGATAGCACATCTTTCAAGAACGGTATTCATGCAATTTCACTCAATAACTTTTAATTATATGAAATGATAGCTCTTGGTTTCAATCAATTTATTTGACACTGTCTTCTAAGGTGAGCGAAAGTGAAAATAACTATTGTAAGAGTGACAATAATTACTTAAACTATGAAAATTTATTTATTGTACACAGATAAAAAAACATTACAAAAAGTCACAAAAAACAAAAGGCAAATTACTGAAAATAATTGTAAACAATTAATGAAGAAGATTTATAAATACGAGATACGAGAAATCAAAAGTAATAAACAATTTTATAAAAATTTTCGGAATCTTATTACAAACTTCTGAAAATGTAAACATTTTTATATTATTAATTTTTGCTAATGAGATTTTGATCATCTTGTTAATTTTAGAAATTACAAAAATAATCAAGTTTATGTGCTTTATAAAACAAATTTAGAACTTGATTGCTTATATAGTAATAAGAAGAATGTGAAAACTAATACAAATTTATAGAGAGCAAATAAAGAACTCGAGTCAATGAACATATTCAAATATTATTTCCCTACTTTTTTCTCAAAATTATATATCGCTTATAAGATTCATCAAATATGAAAATTTAGATAGAAACAAAACTAAAGTTGTTTGGTTGAAACAACAACAAT